AGTGCAAGCATCATTATAAATATATTTGTTTTAATTCAGAATGCCAGTGACCAAAAGACAGAAATGGAAAAAATAAAAGAAAAAATGGCTCAGGAGATGTCCAAAATTGAAGAGCGAAAAGCCCAAATTGATGACGAGTTGAAAGAAGTGCAGGTAAGTTTTGTGGGGGCTAATAAAATGTGCAATGTGCTGCTTGAGATCCCAGCTGAATTTATCCTTCACTTCACCTCTCGCTGCCCTCTAGCCATTGGTGGATGAAGCAAAGCGGGCAGTTGGAAACATCAAGCCTGAAGCTCTGTCTGAGATCCGCTCCCTCCGGATGCCCCCTGATGTCATCAGAGACATCCTGGAGGGGGTACTGAGACTGATGGGCATCTTCGATACCACCTGGGTCAGCATGAAGAGGTGAGGGGAAGAATGTGTTAAAGGACTAACCATCCTTTTTTAAGGCTTCAACTGACTCCCTTATAAAACCATAACTTATAAAATCCAGCATACTCTTTTCATTATCTCTGGCTTGACTGCCTTTCACTGCAGCTTTCTGGCTAAACGTGGTGTGAGGGAGGACATAGCCACATTTGAAGCCAGAAACATCACTCCTGAGATTCGCCAAAGTGTGGAAGAGCTGCTCAACAGAAACAAAGCCTCATTTGACCCCAAGGTCAGACAGCAGCAGATTAACAAATAATACGATTTTTTTTTTCTTGCTGGAATGTAAGCATGTTACTATGATTGCTATGTTTAAGTAGTTTTTGACTCTTGATGTTTTTATTGTTAGAATGCAAAGCGTGCAAGTGCTGCAGCTGCTCCTCTGGCTGCCTGGGTCAAAGCCAATGTCCAGTACTCCTTTGTCCTTGAGAGAATTGAGCCTCTGGAAAGAGAGCAAGCTGGACTACTGGAGTAAGAGCCATATTTTAAACACACCCTCAGAAAGCAGCTAACATAATGTTTTACCCAACACACACTTGGCTGACAACTACAGTGGTGCTGGAAAGTTTGTAAACTCTTTATAATTTTCTATACTTATGCATTAATATGACCTAAAACATCATCAGATTTTCACACAAGTCCTAAAATTAGATAAAGAGAACCCAGTTAAACACATGAGACAAAAATATTATACTTGGCCATTTACTTATTAAGGAAAATGAGCCAAACTTACATATTTGTGAGTGGTAAAAAATCTTTTTTTCTTGAACCTTTGCTTTCAGTACCTGGTGTCCACAAAACATTCTTCCAACAACCTTATGGTTTGTCCATGTGATCTTTGGCAAACTGCAGATGAGCAGCAATGTTCTTTTTGGAGATTTGGAGTGGCTTTCTCCTTACAACCCTGCCATGACACCATTGTTGTTCAGTGTTCTCCTTCAGTGGGGGGCCAAGATGGGATAGAGGTAGGGCAGCATACTGGGGAACAGATAGTCGCGGTTTGACTCCCAGCCATTCCCACATGTCGGGATGTCTCTGAGCAAGACACCTAATCCCTAATTGCTCCCTAAGCGCTTACATAGCTGCCCACTGCTCAACCTGAGTGTATCTCACGTGTGATGGGTTAAATGCAGAGAACTAATTTTGCGTTTGTATGGGAACATA